ATTATTAAACTAAATAGCCGCGTTTTTGTATACGAAGAGGATGAAACAGGAAGGCCATTCCTACATATATGTATGGTCTAATGTATATATCCATACACATGTATGTGTTCAAAACAATCTAATTTGGTGTAATGATCTGTCATATGTACTTAAAAATTTCAATATATGAATTGAAGTAAGGTTTCAGTACAAATACAGTTACATAGCAATTTACTTACTGGGATGCAAAACTTTCTGGGCCTTACTATGGCTGGCGCAAAATGATGAGTACAGTTTGAAATGGTTGACGTAGTACAAGAATGCCGAGCCGATAGCAAAGAGAACGTTCTGAAAGTAAAAACATTAAAACAAATATACATTATTATACCTGCTAATTATTATTGATTTATATAAAGTTTAGATTTGTAAACAATTCTGAGCTTTTGTTAGAGACTAGTAATTTACTAAAAGTTGAACCATTTACGCAATGAATAACTTCACCGTCTCTTGACTGATATTAGTCACTTAGTCTATAGTCAAATTATTGGCATAAGAAAAGGTTAAATACCAAAACATTAAAAATTGGTAAAAATCAGTTTAGCCGCTGAACGCTGCCGTATGTCTGTTCTCACAAAAAAAACTAACGATTCAAAACTCACAATTTTGGGACACAAAAGTGCTGCGGAGCATTGCCTACACTATTATAATCAATTAGAAACGTAATTAATCTTACTATAAAAGTCAACGAAAGTACCCAGCCAGCAAAATATCCGAACATCCGAAAAGGAAAAAAAAGTCTACAGATTCCATTTTCGAATACTTTGGCGATCCGTTTTCGCACTAAAGTGTGCGGCAGAAACGTATGTACAGACAAGTACCGAAAATTTTTTGTGAAACGGATACTTTTTCGGCTATTTTTCTTAAATTTGTATGATTGAATTTTTCGTTCAATACGCTTACCTTCTGCACTCCACAATTACTTCACAGATACAGTACACTTACATATTTATAGTACATACTCAGATGTGCACATACAAGTACGCGCGTGGTAAATTTTGGTATGAAAATATTATTTTTAAATACGAGCATTGATTTTTTATATTTTTTTTTGCTGTCGGCTTTTGCGTTTTTTTCATATAAATAGCGAAAGTTAGAAAAACTGGCATTGACTTTTTTTTTTAATTTTTCGCAAAAGGTCTTGCGCATATTCTTCCACCAAAAATTCATTTTATATGGAAAATATTGCAAAACGCCGTCAATAAAAAAAATATTAAAAATCAATGCGATTTTTGCACTAGTTTTACTAAAATTTTATAATCCTGTTAGCTACATACCTAAAAAATTTAAAAAAATTTTGGTTAAAAATCTCGAAATTTAGATACAAATTTGTGGAATTTTTCTAAGTTCTGTATAAAGTTTGAAAGTGTAATTTATATGATTTTTCTTGAAGCATGAAATATATTTTTATAAAAAATATGAAAAAAATTATAGCTTGAAAAACATTGTAAGTATTGAATACGAAACACCATTCATCCACTTTTGAACGCCACTATATGTATGTAGATGGAAAGTGAGCTAACTCAAAATATAACTGCTTATGGATCGTACAGATTCAACGCTATTAATACAAAAACATTTAGAAAATATGATCATGAAGAAAAAATATTTGCATTAAGTGCCAAGTGCTATGAATAGATTTCTGGAAAAAAAAATCGTCTTAAAGTTTTGGTTTTAAAGTGAGGTGATCGCTCTTTAGATCTGGATGTGCGATATGTATATAAAACCTCGAAACTTTTAATGTTTTGCTCAGCATCGGAATCAGTAAAAAACCAACAACAACGCAAGCCTAAAAGTCAAACAAGGATTAGCTGTAGATAATAGGTTCTATTTAAGGCTCGGTGTACAACTGAAAAGCAGAAACTTCGCTGGACAAAACTAATATCAGACCCAGGTCCTATAAATCCCTTAGTAAGGCCATCCTTTTTAACCGACTTCCAAAAAAGGAGGAGGTTATCAGTTCGTCGGAATATTTTTTTTTTTTTTTTTATGTATGTTACCGCATAACTTTGGACCACGCCAGCCGATAATTCTTTTTGCATCGGAAAGGTAGTGTCTCAGAGGTGGTCCCATACTAATCTGGTTAAGATCCGATCAGCGGATCATGAGATATATATATATATATTTTTTTTTTATATGGGAGTTGAAGTCGGTTTTTTTTTTGCTAAAAATTACTAGTAGAGAATTCAACTCAACTCAATCCCATGAGTGAAAACGGGAAGAAAGTAGGGCCGAGTATTTTCTACATCTCTGGAAGAGGTAACTGAAGAAGATTTTTCGTCTTATTCCAAACCAGATTACTACTTGTATACCATGCTTTTGTTGTGAAAAAATCAAGTTTAGAGTACAGTCTATAACGTTTAAGGTAGATGTACTCTTTGAACAGTTCAAGGACTTACAGCTTGGGATTTTGGCAATAAAGAACTGAAAATCATTGAATTCAGAACGGTGCTTGATTACGCTTAAAAAAGACTTAGTAATCGGTGTATATTAGGGCGGATCAATTTGTATGGGAGATTTTTTCGACTATGCGCGTATGGCGCAGAAGGATTCTACATGTAATTCTAAGCAAATTTGCCGAAGAAACCATGGATCTAACATCAATTTGGAGTTGGCATTTTGCTTTAGTATCGTAAACAAGTGCTTAAATTTTGTATGATGTCATGATAAAAGGGGTTCTTTAGCGGCGGTTGGTTGGTTGGGAGTAAATTGCCAAATTCCACGGAAATTGCACACGGAAATGGTGCAACGGAATTAGTTGGGGCTGAAACAAGTGCTTCTCGTGTGTATGCATATGGTAAAAGGTTAAAGAATAACACTTAGAAAAAGACCAATACAAGAATAAAAGTAAAGGTGACTACGTACATAGGTAAAGGCAAAAGTGAAAATAAAACCAAGAACAAAGATGCGTAAAGATAAAGGCAAAAATGAAGACCAAGGTAATTTTAAACATTTTACTTACATATATAGGGGCAAAGGTGAAGGGGAATATGTAAATAGATAAAGAAAATGATAAACATAAAAGTAAAGACAAAGAGGAGTATGAGGATACCGATAAAAGTAAAGATGAAGATAGGGAAAGAAAGATTAAAATAAAGGCAATTAAAGAGGAAAGGATATAGAGAGAGACACAGAGACTCAATCTGGGAACTATTTTGGGATTTTAGAGATTTTCGGGATTCTTGGGACTCATCGATAAAATAATCGATATTTTTATCGGGTTTGTTATCGATATTTTTATAGATTTTTTTATCAAAATTTTTAACGGTGTTGTTATCAATTTTGCTATCGATATTTTCGGAACTTATCGATATAATAATCTATTTTATTATCGATATTTTTATCGATTTTTCATAGGTTTTGTAATCGATATTTTTAACTATTTTGTTAGTGATATTTTTTTTATTGATTTTGTTATAGATATTTTTATCGATTTTGTTATCGATATTTATGGATATTTTTATGGATGTTGTTATCGACTTTGTTATGGATATTTTTATCGATATTTTTACCGATTTTGTCATCGATACTTATGATTTTGTTATCGATATTTATCGATTTTGTTTTGGATATTTTTATCGATTTTGTTATCGATATTTTTATCGATTTTGTTATGGATATTTTGACCGATATTTTTATCGATTTTATTATGAATATTTTTATCGAGTTTCTAATAGATTTTGCTATCAATATTATTATCGATTTTGCTATCGAAATTTGTATCGATTTTTGCATCGATTTTGTTATCGATACTTTTATCGGTTTTGTTATCGATATTTTATTGAATGTAACTATCGATAGAGTAGAAAGATAAAAATGAAGATAAAGGAAAACAGAATAACATAAATGTAATTAGAACGAACAGGGGTAGAGGTAGGGATCTAGATAGAAAAAGGACAAAAAACATGACCTTAAGCAAAAGCAGATGTATGTATGTATGAATGTATATTGGTTATGAGACAAAATAGATATGTATGTAACGTAAGTTTCACTTCTCCAGTGTGGCCCAGGCGCACTTATTTCTTTTTAAAACTTCCACCTTAGGGCGCAACAGTGTAAATTTTACCATTTTCTTCGAAACCTATTTTCGGAATTTGCCAAACTCCAAATTGATTTTAGACCCACGGTTTCTTCGGCAAATTTGCTTAGAACTATACGCAGAATCCTCCTACCCTATACGCGCCCTATTGTACACTTCAATACAAAAATGGTTTTAGGAAATAATACACGCCGCAGTTATCCAAAGGAACTAATTTAATTTAGAACAAGATCCTAGAATTTAAGTTTAGAAATTAGTTAATACACATAGAAAGCGATTTAGGTAGAGTTTGTGTTTACCTGTCCATATTTAAGAGGGAACGCGTACATACACACATATAAACATATCTACATAGTACATAGGTACATATCCAATGCACCACATCCTTAATTGTATACACTTATTCATCAGTGTCTGTGGTTAATGTGTCATCACATAAAAACCCTCTCTATCCCAGGTGTCTTCTTTCACTATTCAGGTGCTTTTTCGTCACAGACATGGAACAAAAGGTTTCAGTTTAATTAAATTCGCATTAATGACATCATTATGGCTGGAGCGCAGAAGAGTGGAGTGAAAGAAGTGAGGGCGAGCGGAGCTGAAAAAAACTGCAATCAAGACAGTTGAATGGTTTTGCTGTGCATATAAAGCTTTCACCGTTATTTCACCCCATTGCCAACGCTGTCGTCTCTGGTGCTGTCTAATTTTTCTGCAATTTCTATTTTTCGTACAGGGATTTAATTTACTCCTTTTTGTTTTATTGTCTTTTGTTGCAATTTGGAACAGCAGTAGTTGCATGAAGTTGAAATTGAATTGGAATGAATGGAAAGCTAAGTGAAGGCGGGGTAAGTACATATATACATATGTGTGATTTTATTGTGAAAGGAGATGATGGCTACAATGAAAGCTAGGGAGTTTGATGGCCTTAATCGAGGTTATTTCATATATTGTAACTCAATCTACGCACGTACCTAATCTCGGTTCCACAATTTTAAAGCAATCCAGCTTAAATTTCGCAAACAATTTAGATGTAGCGGCACATGGATATTCATTTGAAATGGTAACACCTTGTGCGGTGGCGAGGAGTTGATAAGGCGCATGCATCTACTCTTGTGGCATTGGTTCTAGTCGTTCGTTCGGAGTGCGATTGGGTATATGTAGTCGTTTTTCTGGATATGAAGTTACAGTTGCACGGCTAAACTCAATGCCGCGTCGTCGTTCGCGCACTCTGGGCAACGTGGGCAACCCATGTACG